AGAACAACTTTGAACAAGAGGAGGAAGAACAGGAAACACAAGGTCCTATTTTAATGGTAGCTGGTCAGCCTCGTTCATATGGTGAAATTAATGAAAATCCAGAGCTTGTGTCTTTGATGACAAATGAAGAGAGAGCAGCTTATATTAAAGTAGGGCAAGAAATGTTCCAGTCTGTCTTTGAATAAATACTGCTATGTGAACATGCAAATTTGTGTAGAATGGGTGAAATAAGACAGTCTAAATAGTTTTTTAACTTATGTTCTTCAAAGTTTGGTTTTGTTTGAAGTCCTTGCTCTTTATTATGCAAGAGTGTAATCCTGTAGTAGGTGACTACAGCTCAAAATGCTAGCAGCGCAGCAAAAGCCACCCAAAGTTATTAGTTTTCTGTTGTCTTTATTAGACTTTGTGCAGTAATTGGTTTTGGAGCATGTATCATTTTGTGATACAGTGGGACTGATTAAAATGAAGTTTCAAAAGCAGTGGTGAACTCTATTGCAAGAAATGAATTATTCCATCTTCCTCTGGGAACTAGAAGATACTTCTAGTAGTGAAAATGAGTTAAAGCCCAGCATGATTTGGTTTCACTCCATACCAGTTTTGTTAGGTCATTTGCCATCCAACAGTAAGAACTGCTACTGCATTGGCTATAGGAGAGAACCACCTCAGGCCTCTTAATGTTAAGATTAAAAATAATTATCTCAATTCTTTGTGATGAACTGTGCAATGGATAGTAGACAGTAAAACGTAGCATTCATTTTGGTCTGGGTGGCTAAGGGAGCAAGCAATGCTTGCTGCTTCTCATAGCTCATCCAGACACTTCCCATTAATCTTTTTAAGTAGGGTCTCTCCTGCTACCACTGGAAAAACACATTCCACGTAAAGTGAATGACACAAATAGAAGGACTAGAATCAGAATATAAGGGAGATCTTAACTTCCTCAGCACTTCTACTTCAATGAACATAGACAGTGGGCACGCACTGAAACACAGGCGCCTCCTTCAATGTTAGGAAACTTCTTTCTGTGAGGGGGACTGAGCCCAGAGGGATTGTGTAAAGTCTCCCACACTGGAGATATCCAAACCCAACAGGGCACAGTCTTGGCCAACCAGCTCTGAGTACCCCTGCTTGAGTAGTGGGTTGGGCAAGATGGGCTTCAGAGGTCCCTGCCAACCTCAACCAACCTGTGGTGAAAGGATAGAGAGAAAGCATGACCGAAGAAATACTATTTCAGTTCACTGTTCATACACACCATTCCAGAGATCTGGTGTGTATGAACAGTGAATTTCTCTGAATGACAGAGAAAGAAATCAAGAATGGTGTGTGCTTATGCTATTTCTTGAGACAAATCTAGTTTATATGGTGAATCATTAAGCTCCACTATTCAGAAATCTTACTGTTCTACTTTATGAAAATGACCCCTTTCAGGTCTACTGAATGATTCTTGTGCCAAGTTCGTAATTAAAAACTTGTTTGTTTCACAGATTTGCCTTTGACATAATATATTTCCTCTGCCCTCAAAATTGCAATGTTTTTTCTGCATGCAGTACCCTAGTGGGGTCAGAGCCTGCACAGTAACTAAACTGATCTCAAACTTTCTGATACACTTCCTTCTTTGGAGACAAGAGGCATGTGATTGTAATCTGCCACTTCAATATTCACTCATAAAACCTGGAGACACCCAAACTAAAAAAAAAAAAAAAAAAAAAATATAAATCACAGAAGAATCACGCTCTCCTCTTTATTCAAACTTCAGGCATATTTAGGCTTAACTGGCACTAGACTGTTTCTCACAGCATATAGCCATATTATTACAGTGACCTCAAAAAGAAGACAATTCTGAATTAAAGAAAGATCACCATTGCTTTTTAATCACTTTAAGAAAAGCCTTGTGTTTAAGGTAAATGGATCTCTATAATGCAGCAGATATGCCAAATAAATTATTTCTAGCTCTGTTTTATGACTGCCTGTTATTAGCAAGTCTGATCTGAAGAAGTGAAGAAAATGTTTGTTCTGTTTTAAGTTTTCCAATCTACTCTTCTACAGCCCTAACCCTGCCTTTGCCATGAGACTTCAGTAGATGCTGACTTTAACTACTTGAGTTTTTTTAAACATTTATTTCCTAAATTTCTTCAACGTTATAACTCTTCACAAAGTCAACTACTTTTGAAAGCCTGTAGAATCTGTTCCTATTGCAGCAACTGTGAAAAGACACTAGAATTTTCAGACAGGTTTATCCCTTTGCACATTGAAAGTCAAACAAGAAAATGCAGAAAATGAGAGCTGGTTTCCACAGTTAACTACATACCCAGGGTATTTATTCCACCTCAGGTAAATGTGCTGATAGAAATGAATTCCACAGGCCCTGAACAGGAACATTTTTTGTTTAGTTTGATTTGTTTTTTACAGACCAGCTATACTCTAGGCTACACAAGCAACAGGTAAGGCATGTATTGTAACTGTACCTTATAGTTGTAGAAGATAAAGAAACTCTGTGGGACAAGAGTTTCTTGTCCCAGGAAAATTAGCAGTGTTTCTCTGTAGAGAAGTTAGAGACTGCTACAAGCATTCCAACATCAAAGTCAGTTAACTTCCAACAACAAACTCTGCATACTATTTTGTAAGCCAGAGGAAATTTTTCAGAAGATGAATTTACAGACAAGTCCAAACTTTATTTGAAACTACCATTTTGAACAATTTAAAAATTACTAAACAAGTCACAATAAAAATAAAGAGAAGATTAAGACAGAAAAAGAACAGTGCAGCAAAACTGAATAGAAGAGGATTCAGTTCCAGCTGTTCAAACTGCCACAGGCAGAAGTTAGCATACCTATCCTAAGAGGCAGTGTGTCAAATTTTACATTTTTATACACTTCCAGAATTCTGGGAAATTAGTGATGATCTTCCGTATGTGTTTGTATACAAGGAGTTTATAAATGCAGGTATCTTCAGGTTGTCTCATCCACTCTGAGCTCCAAAAGTTTCTGTAAAACAAGAGTATGCTCATTATTGTCTAGTAGCTACAAGGCATCAAACAGCTGTTGAACACATTTCAACTCCTTGTAAGGATCCATCAAAGCACCTTGATGAAATATCTCATCCTCACCTTTTTTGCAAGCACTCTGAGCTATGGCTTACTTGAAAAGCTTGTACTGTTTGACAAATTGGAACTAGCTACACTAGCAGAAAACTACCATCAGAATACCCAGTTTATGCATTTATTTATGTCTTTACTGTACCTGCAGAACTACAAGCCTGACAAAAGAACATAAGCCTCTAATGCCGTAACTTGTGTCACAACATCAGCATTAAAAAAACAAAGGGTTTTTTGACCTGCATTACCATTAAGTCTTTGGAGCTGCATAAATACTGTTTCATGAAAGTGATGAATTTCTACTGTTGTCATACACACTGAAAGTTTTTTCTCTCTCACGGTACACTTCACATTAACAATTATTTTCATTTCCCTGAAGAGATTTTACCCTTGCGAACAGTCTCTTGAGCTCTTCTATTACAAAACCACTGAGCACTCTGTCAGCAAATTATATTAAGCATTATTATATCAGATGACACCAATTAGAATTTACAATATTATTAAACCCCAGCTTGTATAACGAGAAAAAAAAAAAACCTGTTCCATTTTATTAAGTTTTAAAACCACCCTGTTGTAACATGTTAATTTTTATGACTATCAGCCAGAAGTATGTATACAGAAGGGACATAGAAGGCAAAATCCCTTCATACCAACACATCATTTGAAAATGCATGATAACAAAAGGATATTCTTTCAGCACCATGATGATTGCTTAATTCCCTCAGTGGTAAGAAGATATTTAAATTCTAGGACATTCGAGAGTGTTTTCCCAATAGGTATAGAGGATTTAAAAAAATAATCTTTACCAGGTTCTTTCAAAGTTTGGGCATCTCCTACTAATTCTTGATCTTGAGCTACACCTCCACTCAGTAATTCATCAGACAAACTGTTGGTTTGAGCCTCTGTTGCCATTTTCTTCATTAAATCTGCCTTTGTAAGAGAGAAAGCAAAACTCAAAATACTGGATCATTCCCATTGCTCTCTTGGTAATTAAGACTCCTAAATAACAACCCCACAAACAATAGCAAAATACCTCTGAGTATACTGCAAGTTTAAGGGGCAAGTCTTCAACTTTTACAAAGTCATCTTCATCAGATTTTTGACTTACATTTCCAGAACCAGCTTCCTGTAAATAGAAATGGTGACATTTAAGCATGCTACTCTTGATAGTGCTACTTCAGTTTATCTTCCCTCAAAAACTAGATTCTTGACTATTAGAATAAAGTACATCAAAAAAACAATGCCCATATAAAATTCACAAATGAAAACTGAACAAGCATGTAAACTAGAAATAACACTGAAATAGAAAAAAGCTTCTCATTTCTCTTAGATGTATCTTAATGGAAATATACGCACATATTCATTCACTAACACAGGTGACTCTGTATCAGGGCTGCCAGCCATGGAGCTTTCAGAACTTGCAGCTGATTTGTTTTCCACACATGTTGTATCTAGTGTTTGAGTTTCATTTACTGGTAAAGGTGAGCTTGATTCCTCTGTTTTCATGCTGGCTGTTATCAAGGATTCTGGTGTACTGAGTGTTAAAGGTGGTGTACTCTCCATGCCACTGAGGTAATGAGGCAAAATTGTAGCCACATCTTGTTCATCTAAAACCAAAAAACTACTTTTTAACTAGGTAGAGACAGTAATAGCGTAAAAAAATTCCCAGATCCTTCTGTTTTTTAGATTATAATCCAAAGCTACAAATGAACAATGAAAGGTATGTGTACTCTCATATAGTTAAGTATCAGCAATTATCACAAGACAGAACACGACTTCAAAATACTTGACTTGATAGAGCTTTAAAAACAAAGCAGCAACAAAAAACAACTTCCAGAACTATATGACCTGCTGTAAAATATTCATTCTAGATACAAGGAAATAAATAATACAGAACAATAAATTCCTTAACATTTTGCCACATTCTCAAGGCAACACAGGATCTACTCAAATACTGTGTTTAGCCTATAGAAAAAGAACAAAACAAGTATTTGCAACAGAAGGACACCCAGGAGAAGGTGGTAACAATTGTTGCATTAGAAGTAACATTCATACCACCCTGTAGTGTCTTTTGACAGAAAATGATTTCTCAGC